AAAAAGAGGATCTGTGATGATGTTTTACTTTTAGTGAAAGGGGGAAAACCCAGTGGTTTTAAACCTCTTTCCCCCCTTTTCACTCTTTCTTTCAGATCACAGATGGAAAAAGTGGAGCAGAAAATTGCTTTGCCCAAAGCCACACACTGGCAGTAATTGAACTAGAAGACAGCATTGGTTTAAATAGAAAGTGTAATACATTCATAGTATTTGGGCTATTCTAACTGCTGTTTTCTCTTGTCCACATACACCATTTACTTTCCAGCTGTAAATGCATGGTGCTTCTGATAACAGAATCTTTTGGGAATCTCAAGGGGTTTCCCAAATTCTGAGTTGCTTTCAAGAAGCTTCAAGAAACAAAGAAGCACTAAATAGGAAATACCAAATTCATCAAGTTTTAGGTGCTGTTTCCCGAAGAAAAACATTAAGGAGGAAGCTCTGCTTTTTGTTCTTGTCCAGCAATTGTGACTCTGATGTCTCAAATAAAGCAGCTGGTGGATCTCCCAGACAACCCAGTCCTGTCCCACTGGGCTGTGCAATACATTAGCCAGTGATGGTCACTGTTTTGTTGCATGTGTAGTCTTAATGATCAAGACACTGAAAACAAAAATAGATAGCCATTTATTAGATGATAATTGAGATGCAAAGTATTTAAGAAATTAAGTCAGTCACAACAGAGTTTGATGGCAGATCTCAGGTAATAAATTCCTGTGCATTTGTGGAGATCAGTCTCTCTCTGTGGCTTACTGCTACTCCAGCTTCCAAAGAGAAACAATGTCTTTGAAGGAGTCCATATAGAAGACAGGAACAGAAACTAAAAGCAAAAAATAACGGAAGCTTAAAAGCGTCATCCCTCCTTCTCCAAAGAAGCTGTTTTTATACTAGAGGTGAGACTGAGGTTCAGCAGATCATACTTTTAAATCCAAGTAGATGTGAAACTTTGTTCTCGAAGAGGAGCTAAAGAGCAGTTGCTGCATTGAGTCACAATGAAGAATTTTTGTGGAGCTTTTGTGGTAAATGAGATCAGACATAACAGATGCATTAAAAAAATTGGTGAAAAGCACCACAAAGGCTGGCTGATATCCAGCAGCCCATCAAGTGGCTGCCATTTCAACATGGGGAAGTAACTACCTGCAGAAACTGTTATGTGCAAATCTTGTTAGAGGCTAAAAGAAATCCACCCTATGTTTAGAGTCACACCAAATTTATTTTAATTGCAACTGTAGCAATTTAATAAAATAATTATTATCAGTCCAAATATAATTATTGCAGAAAAATAAAGGAAGCAAAATTAAAGAAACTGTATAGAATGTCTCAATAATAATAACAACAATAATAATAATACAGTAAAAATTGTTATGCACACACTATTTAGTACCTACCCTCACCCCTGTTCCTGGTGTCATGCTTGACCTTTCACCTCCTTGTAGCTTCCACCTTGTAGAGGGAGCACTGTGGATCATCAGCATCTGGAGTCCCATGCCTGCAGGAGTATAATGTTGATGTTTATAATTTCTTCTCTCCTTTTTTTTTGGCAATATCTCGCACTTGGGTTCTTTTTATACATTTTCTAATAAAGTTTTACTCCTTACTTTTCTTTACTGGCCAGCAACTACGTATTTTTCTTTTTGTTCATCTTAAGTGGTTTTTTTTTTGTTTCTTTCATATTTTCTTCTCATTCTTTCTTCTTTTTTTTTTTTTTTTTTTTTTTTTTATCCCTAAGAATAGTTTTGCCCATCTCCAGGTTTGTATTTCTTCAACTGACCATTGGCAAGTTGTTTATAGCCTTGGAGTGTCCAGTGCCAGCCTGTGCTCCATCTCTTAAAAAACCATGCCTCTACTTTACACTGCAGTTGGTGTCGTCACTTCTCAAAGTTCCTGCTGTTTTAATAGGTCTGTATTTCTGTATCCTGTAACACCATGTTAGAGTCTTAAATACGGTGTTACAGGATACAGAAATATAATTCTACACAGAATAAATACTAATTATTAGTATCTATATAACAACTGTGATTACACATAAAAGTGAAACAAATTAGCCATAGCCTCCTGTCCTTCATAAAAAAAAAAAAAAAAAAAAAAAAAAAAAAGAAGTTACAGTCAAATCAAATAAAACCAAAGCTCTGAGAAGCCTGGGGAAAGTTCCTGTGCTAAGCCTCCATCCTGAGCTCTTGGAAGACTCGGGACAAGGCCTGTGGACTGTCACTAGCAGTAGCAACACAGTTGCAAGTATTACTGGGCTACATGCTGTTTATTAATTTCCAATTCTGGATTAATATTTGTATGTTGTGAATTCATATGTTGCATACTCTATGTAGCAGCAGAGGTAAAAATTTCCAGAAAGGCCATGGGAAGGAAGCAGGAACACTGCTGACTAGAAAACAGGCTATTGCCCCTGAACTCATCAGTGAGTGGTTATGAGCCCAGTTCATAGTCCACACGTGCTCAGCTTCAACACACTGGGTGTGTGCGCTGCAAACAAGGTCACAAAACCCTGATATTGCAAATTCCTGCGTGGCAGTTGAATCAGAGACATAACAGCAAAAGGACAACTCCTCACTTCATAGGTTATTTCAAGGAAGTGGGGAATATTAAGCATCTTCTAATAGATATTCTCTAAGTATAGAACAGGACAATTATATGAGTTTTTGCCTAGTCATTACAAAAAACTATTTAAAGCAGTCAGGTCATCTGTTTAAAGCATATATTCATGGTTGGAGGGAATAAACATTTGGCTTAGAAAAAGTTATTTTAATCAATTTTTTCATCAGTAGGGTCCAGCATGTTATTCAGAAATGGCTTCCTTCAGTAAATGGATTGTGAATCAATAGTAGATATAAATAAAGCAGTACAAAGGGCACAGCATTCAACAAGCTGCCAATCCATGGAGCAGAGGATGACAGAAATCAGTATTCCAAGATGGATACACAAATAAATCAGAAATGGGCAGATAATACATAAATATCCACCTTTTTACAAAAATTTCAGAGTTCTGTCTGGTCCTAAGAACCACTGAAATGTACATTAATACTTATGTGCTTTATATGACAGACTGCTATGAGATGGAGTTTAGTTTGAAGTCTGTTTTCAAGCTTACCCCTCTTAGAAACCTCTTAGAAGTTCTTTAAATATAGAGAATTAATTGCCAGGCTTCCAAAGGTCTTTCTGGAGACAGGAAGTAAAAGCTGCAGACTTTGTATTATGCCTCAAAGAATCAATTCTTGAGATAAACTAAATACCCACAATTCCTGTAAGGTCTGTGAAAAGTGGTGTTACTCAGCACTTTTTAGGATTTGACCTCCAATAGAAAGAGGAATTACAATGTTTTTTCAAGAACACAGATCATAATGAATTTGTATTAGTCATTTGCATCAGGACAATATTTCATAATATCATTGCTACAGACAATATTATTTAAATGTTGCTAGTAGGACCTTTGAACATGACTCATACTGTGTCTGTCATAACTGTTAATTATTAATGAATAAATATGTCATTTGGGTCCTAATAGCTAATATTTCCAGGCCATTTGTGTCAATGGTTGTTTTCAACTGTGAGAATGTCAGTTGCCAGGAATTCAATAGCCTTATTTATTTCATAATTATTTAAGCATATATTATGCTAACCTGCAAAAAAATCTCATTACTCTCTTATCAAAACTGTAAGTTTTGTATCTGTTAAAAAATGTGATTCTCATGGCATAGTTTGAGCCTACAGATTATACATTCAATGTTTTGTACAAAATGAAGATAAGGACAGAGTATTTGTAACTACTAGCCTACAATTTAGGATTGTGCAAGCTGTCATCCTCACTAACCATAAGGTTTTACATTTCTTCCAGAATAATTTCTTATTCAAATGGCAATTCTGGATAATTGCTGCAAACCATATAAATGTCTGATTCCACTTTGAACCCTTCTGAACCATAATGCTGGATAAAAAAAAGAAACTTGATTCACAGGATGAACACATTTGTATCAGTTTTGAATTTGCCACATTTTAATACAGCTGTTCTGTTCTTACTGCCTTTCCAGATAGAATTTCCCAATATATCTTCTTAGCACCATCTGTTAATAATATTTATAACAGAACTGCATAGGGGATCAGATGGGAAGGGAGCCCCAAATGTACCAACACTGCCTATAAAAGGAAAGCTAGTCTCTGCCTAGCAACTTCAATGGACAAAAAGCTGGAAGGAAGCAATAGGGGCAGAGGGAACAATGGGATGGCTGCATACATTGTACCATCTTTATTTTTGTTTGCATTTGAATGTTTCTGTTCTTTTCCCGAGGCTCTGCTATGAAGAATTGAGTAGACAGCAAAACCACAGTAACAAGGACATAGACCAAGCTATAGCAGGCAGCCTATCAAAACACATCAGAGATTTCAGAATGCAAACTTCAAGCAAGCAATTTAGTGATACTGCTGGTTTCTAGATGTGCCTCACTTATTCTTCCCTGCAAAGCCCATGATCAGTCCTGTACTGCCCTAAGTCTCCCATCCTTACACACTCCAGTTGAGGGGGATGGACTTTTTTATTTAGTACTTACTCTAAGAGGCTAAAATTCAGTGAATTTGTTTTCAATATATCAGTTAGTTAGAAAAACATTGTCATTTTATAGATAGAAAACATAAAGGTAAAAATTGATGGAAGTACATCTAAATTATTCTTTTTTATCTATAAACCATTTATTCAAGCTATACATGTAATACTTCATTATTTTTTAGCAAAAAATTTTTGCATTATCTCATTTTTGTGGATATTTTGAATTATTGGATCAATATTAACAAATATTTTGACCACATTTCACATGCATATGAACAAAAAACACATACTCATTATAGCAAGGCAGTCTCAGGCATCCTCCTATTTAACGGAATTGGCAACACCAGTACAGATGAGTGGAAGCCTTTTTTAAACTATCTCCCAATGCAATCAAGTAATTTAATGCTTAGAAGAAAAAAAAAAAAAAACCAAAACAAACAAAAGACACCAGTACTGTATTGTGGATACAATTTATTTTTTCAAAATTCGATCAGGTGAGTGTAAGGTCCATTTGTATCCAGTTTTAACACCTGCCTGTTTCCATATGTACCATGCTTGACAAGAACACCGGCTTCCATGCATTTGGCATTGGCAGCCAGTTCTTTTTCACACAAAGTCACAAACTGAGAATAAAGTTCCAACCCTTTTTCTTTTTCAATGTTTGCATGGTACTGCATCTTTCTTCCCTTTGGTTTACCACCTAGGGTAGCTTGTGGTATGATGAGTACATCGCCTGGTAAATCAAGAACAGAGACAAACTTGCCGTTTTCATTTTCACTTAATTTAACATTCAACAGCGTATCAACTGCAAATAAAAATAAAATAAGAGTTAGTATTACTGAAGTGAAATAAACAGGACACCATAAACAAGACCCAACAAATATTTTGACAAACCACTGAGTAAAAGAAACTGTTTATTAATGAACTGAAACATGGACAATCAATAACTACTTAACAAATTAATATGTCTGAGTATTGTGAGGAATGTGAAGGATATTAATATTATATGTCTAAAGTTTTATTTTTGGGGGAAGTGATTGGCTATTTAAAATCCTAAAGGTGATTCTAGTTGGACACCCCCAAAAGAACCCAGGATGCAATTAGTGAGCCTTCCTTAATTGCTTGATACCCAAATAGGTAGCTTTTGCACAACGCTCTGCATTGTAGGACACACCACCCTCAGTGCACTTTGGAGAGTGTTCTGCCCTGACTCTCTTTTCATTCTGGTAGCAGCAGTTTGCAGCAGGACGCAGCACTGATCTGAGCTGAAGGCACAGCTCCACGGTTTGGTCTCAAGTAGAGCAAGTGTCCTTCAGTGCTCCACTTCGAGATGTGCAGCTACCAGTTTGTCACTTGAGACAGGATGTGGGCAGGAAGGTCAGATGCAATTTGCCTTATAAGCCAGAGCATATAAACTTGCAAACAAAATCAATGCATTTACTAACTTTAGATTTTCTGATGTTTCTGTAACAAATCAAATCATTACCCAACTCTGTAAAAGCTGGGAGAATACTAGTCATGCCTCCAAACCCTAAACATAAATGTTTAATGTTGTTAGAAGCAAAAACAGCTGAGTTGTGATTCAGGAACCAAACCCACACACTTAACCAGATTCAAAATATATTTAGGAAACATATTCTCTAAGAGAGGCACTCAAGAAGGATGGTCCTAGATGAATCTCCTGATAGGAAACAGAACTTTCTTTTTCTGGCCTGTTTTAGCTGCCCCACAGCTAAAAATGTAATTATTCTTAAGCTACATTCAACATGGAACTCTCACTAGCACAAAATAAATTTTATATCATAAATATTTAGCATTACAAAAGGACTGTGCCCTCCAAGACCAAGAGAGAACCCCCCTAGGAGTTGCTCTCAGCATTTTTAATAACACTTGTACTTGTACTGCTGATCTCAGCCGGTAGCCTGAAACAGACTGAAATAGTGAAATATTGTTACACAATCTTTATCCAAATCACTAGTATCAGCCAGCCACAGAAAAGGGGCACTTTTATCTGGAATATGCAGCATCACAGAATTTCCCAGGGGAAGCAGTGCTACTGATGGAGGAAAGGAGGGAAAAGAAATAACACAGAAGTAAAAAAAAAACCCACAAAACAGAACAGAAAAAAAAAATCAAGCCAAAACAGCACTGGGTAAAGACAGAAATTGCTACTATTTGACCTTCTCCACAGCATCTTCTCTGCTTCAATGTAAATGTTAAAGTGGATGTGGAGAAGAAGACAAGAATTGCAGATGTTGCTGTTATTGCTTCTGAACCAGAGAACTGCACATGCTAACAGTGTATGTAAGCACCACTGAAGTGACATGGGAAAGACACTGTTTCATTATCCACACAACTCCCTCTACCGGCTATGATTTTAAATAACCTGCACATACAGTGAGATCAGTGGTAAACCACTTATCAAAACAAGCCATGAACTATTTGAAATTCAGTTCTGTCCTGGACTGAACTTATTGCCCGACACATGTACTATGTTAAACAGCAGGTGCAGCATTTTCTTTGTCTGCCAGAATGTTATCAGGGAAATTTGTTTTCTAGGTTGGTCATGAGCAGACAGACCAAGAGGCATGGACAACCATCAAAAGCAACAAGACAGACCAAACTGTTCTTTCAGCCAGATAATCGAGTTAGAACAATGCCATCTCATGGCTTATCCAAATGGCTGCTACCTTCTCTGCCTCAACTGCTCTTCTTCATTTTCAAACAATACAATAATGTCTATGGATTATATCATACCAATTTTTGGGACAAGATCCTCATCAGCACCTTTGAAGAAGCATATGTAGATAACAAGTCCTCTCTGGATCTACAAAAGATTACAGAAAACTATGTCAATGTTTCTCATTATCTATGATGCATGCCTATCATTAAAATGATCAAAAATGACAAAACCACGTAACAAAGAGTAGCTTTAGTTATTCAGTACAGCTTCAGACATTGAGTTTACACACCACACTGTGGAAGATAAGATATATTCTCATTATCTGCAAAATGCTTCTACATACAATTAAGACAATTTAGAAGCCCCATGGGAAGCCAAATTTAGTTGGAATGTAGAGTGTACAGTATTAACATAGACAAGGTGACAAGACAAATTAGTATACTTAAATCCAGCATAAGAAATAATTTAAGCTTTTTTCCTATCAAATGTACAGCTAAAATCAATTTTCAGTATGAACCATGATATTATTTCCAATTATGAAACATGAAAAACACCACAGGACTTCTCAAAGAACTGAATTTTATTTTGATATTGAAAGTCATTTAGTACAATGTAATTCTGAAAAAACCAGAGAGTCTGTTAATTAAATATTTAAATATGATGCCCAACAACTCTGAAGTTGTTCAGAATATTATAAAATTGTTCAAAATACCATTTATAAGCCTGGGTAAAATTTAACTGGCAAAATGGAACTTTTCAGCTGGCTGGTATAAAGTAAAGGATATGCCACATCTTCAGCATTCAGAGCAACTACTTGTAAGAACTATGTATTTGAGGGAAGAATTAGGCCTCTGCAGAGGAGAAAGCACGAGGAAACTCGTGTAGCTTTTCTGCTCACTTGGTCAGTCCATAAGGAATGCACGTGCAACAAGCCGTGCTTTATGAAGCCAAACTGACAGGCTGTGCAGCCAGCAGCAACTATGTCTCACGCACAAGTATACCTGCATGGCTTATCTTCTCTGGGAAAAATCCCAAAGTACCCACAGGCAGACAGGATATAAAGAAACCTCCCCATTGCCTTGTCAAGAATAAGTATATTTTTCATTTTGTTGGAAGAAACATACATCAACTTGTGAAATACCACGGAAGAGATATTAAATAGATTAGCACAGGAAGGAGTTATTAATACCAATGCTATCAAAGCAAAATGATAGAAAATGTAACTTTCTTAACAATACCTTTAAAAAAATATTTTCCTCTATTTGTTTTTTTTCCCCAAATGATAAAGGTTTTTAGTGAAGAAATATTAGCTGTACGCATGAGATTTTTTCCTTTTATTACTGCAGAGATTAAACAAAATGCTCAAGGCAATGACGGAGAAAAGCTATGCCTTCTATACTATTTTTCTAGTGACTAACTTCTGAAAAAAGAGAATGCTCTTTATAGCCAAAATGTCACGTGCTGAGAACTTGAAAAAGTTTTAAATGGCTCCTTTCAAAACTCTTTTTTTTTTGTACAGTCTTACAGCAGTAACAATATTCTGCAAGCAGCTAATTTTAAAGACACAAAAAAGTAAGTAAAGTGACCCCTGCAAATCCTAAGGCCAGACAGATAAAGTAAAACAAAAATCATTCTTTTTTCCAGCCTCTGCCCTTATTTCATGTTTGTTTTTGAATAAACTATTTATCACAAGATGAGACATACATATTGAAGAAAATTAGAGGGACAGGAGGTTAAATGAGAAAACAATTAATTCAGAGACAAGTTAAAGCTGATAGAGGATGCCTCTAATCATACTGCATGTTTATTTTTTTCTTCTAGAACACTTTACAACCATGATATAGTTGAAAGCTATGCAACTACTTGTAAGCTGAAACTTATGGTTTCAACTATGACTGAAAACTCTGGTGCAACATGTACAGCCATGTTTCAACCCCTTGTTAAGTCTTAGGTTATTCTTTAGTTTTCTTAATTGAATAGAAGATGTAAAATTGAATGCAATTACAAGACCAAACCTAATAATAACATGTGTCAGTCTGACCCTTATATCAGTGTTCCCAAGACTGTATCTTAGGATACACCTATATCAGGTGTCCTAAGACTTGTGCTTGTTGTCAATGTAATGTGTAAACATTCTGAACCAAAGCAAAACCACTGCCATTGCTGCAGGTCCTCTGTAACCTATCAAAGCCTAGCTGACTGCTCCTCAGACTTATATTTAATGCACAAAAATTCGAGCAAAATAACACAAATAAGAAGATCATAAATTCAACTTGCTGGTGTGCAAATAGGCACTGCAAGGAAGCTACTCAGTGACTGGACAGGAAAATTGTACTCTATGTGGATTGACCGTGAGCAGTAAAATGCCTACATAAATAAACCAGCAAAGCAAGATACTGTGCAACAGTGACATTTATTAGAGAGTGTCTTCAGTAATCATCAGATCAGGCAACCTGCTGAACCAGATCATGAAAGGCTGAAGTACCCAGCCCCAATGCCATACAGACAGCCTTAGCAACACTGCCTCCAAACGCTGCTTTTCAGCTCTTTTGCAGGAAAAGACAAAAAACTGACTCCTTTCTCACCCTCCTTACTAAATACATTCATCTGTATTTTTCAGGATTTCATTAGCAAAACTGAAATATATTCTGCAAAATATTATCTCTACATTTTACTGCTTTTTTCTCCAAGAAAATGCAATGGATAATAAAATCAGAAATACTTTTAATTCTTAGAAAGTCAGTTCATGAAACTACCTTACATAAATTATTCAGTGACATTTCCATTTCAAGTTCAGATTTACTACCCTCTGGGAAGATTTCTTCATATTTCTTATATTCAGTGCAGCAGAGAGAGATTACATTATCTGCCCCAGGTCACAGAACAAGTCTGTGCCTGGTATTTTGCACGTCTTTTTGCCATAGTAACCAGAAAACAAGTCACGGGAAATAAGATAAGGAAAAGACAGTTTTCCTTGCACGAAGTGTAGGCACTTATACTTTTTAGCTGAATATTCATTTTATGTTTTTTTTCTCCCACAGTTATGAAAGACACCAAACCTTATTTCACCCCTACCTTTACAAGAAGAATTCCTTTTTTCCTTCCCATTTTGCTGTATACCTAAACCTTTTATGGAGGGTATATAACCAAAATTCTCCATAAACATGACATTCTGTGCACAGTAACCCTCAACAAGCCAAAAAACTCAATCATGAAAACACAATGAAGGCAGAGATTCATGCATGTATACTCCTAACCTTTTTCAAGATAAAAAACATCTGCTCTGAAGTTCCTAAAGTACCTACAGGGGTCTCTTACAGCTCAGAAGCTATTCAAAGCCACCTACACAATGTGCCACTTATACTATGCTAGAAATGTCTCAAGGTGACGTCCTACTTTTAATTGGTCATAAAACATCAGGAACACATTGGTTGACCTAAATAATAGCTGATGATGTGTGTACTTTTTTATTTTTGTGGTTTTGTATTGACATGCAAAAATAGGGAGTAAAATTACCCTACCAGAAAATGTCAGCAGCAAAATTTCCTTCCAATAACCTCTAAAGTAGTCATACTAGAGAAAAAATGAACTTCCAGTTGGCTTTTTTTCTGCATGGTGACTAGTTCTTGTTAAAACAGACTTCTCTTAAAAAGCCCCAGGTACCTGGGAAAGATTCCCAAGTACCCATGACAAATATTAGTAAGGTTCATGTCTGAAAAATATCTGCTGGAGATGACCCAAATCTCTTTCAAATTCCTTCAGTGATATCTACTACTTTCCTAGTGATTTTGTAAATTAGAGAGATAAACTATATAACCTCCTTGCAGCAAAGTTGTTCATATCTCTCAACCACAACACGTACCTTTTAAAATAGTTTAAAAGAAAGACAGCAAAATTACATTTCTGCTTTTCTTTACTAGATTAAAATTACTTCTGTGATTAGCAAGCTAGAAATAGATTATTTCTCCTATAGTTATTTTATGCTGGACTAAGTGAATTTTATTGTAATTAATCTTATACTGAGAGGCTAAAAATGTAGTATACAAAGACACACTACGTCTGTGAAACACAGTATCTGTGAGATGACACCTATTTCCTCCCAGTAAAACATTCTGGCTCCCCAGACCATACTGCAGAAACTAGTTCTGCTGGATCCACCTACCCCTTCTGAACAAGGAGAGAAATGTTTTAAGGCTAATGGGAAAGGCAAAGAGTGTACTCTTCAGATGTGCTGAATGAATGCATAAACCCTTTAACCGTGCTAGAGCTTTCACTTTTTAAAATTTATGCAAGTGACTATATTAAGCCCCTTCTGTTGTAACAAAAGACAAAACCAAAAAAAGCCATGGGCTAAACAGCTGACAGTAGCAGAAATGAGTTATTCTAGCGCAGGTAACTCACAAGCAATGACAACTACAGCAGGTCAGTGCATTCCAAAGGGCAGCCTTCATGCTTTGCTAAAGAGCCCTGGGCTGCCTGCATATATACACAGCACAAAGAGTCTGCAGACCTACCTACCTGTGCAGAAGACTATGGGAGGAAAAGGGGGAAAATACGTTTTCCTTAACGTGAGTGGTGGTCTACATGCTAAATTTCATTTTTAGTTAGTGTTGTGGAAAAAAACAAACAAACCGAACAACATCAGAACTACTGCTGCCACAGTCCCATTGCCCTACCTGGCCTTTCTTCTCCAAGTTAACACTATCTCACAACAAACAAAGCCGACAGCCGAGCCCACCAGCCAAGGCTGTAGTGTTTCTGTGAGTGTATTTAAGAAAAGAAGGAACAACACAGTTAGAAGAGAAGCGTGTGGTCGTGGAGCAGTCATGATCCTGACGAGACTTCTGCCTGCGGAGGACTCTGTGGCCCACATGGAGAGAGAAAGAGCAGCAGAGGGCAAGCGCTGTGCGCCTCCTGCTGCTCGTCCCTTTGCCGAAGGGGCTGACTGCAACCTTTGCTGATAACCAGGGGGCGAGGAGAGTGCTCTGGAGGGGAAACGACACGAGGCTAGAACAGGGCTCGAAGCGCAGCCCAGCCCGGAGAAGGAGCAGAAGCTGTCCCCCTCGAATGTCCGAACGCCCACCCTCTCCCGGCGGCGCACGCGCGCAGGGCACGGAGCGCTTTCCCGCTTGCCGCCACGGCCGGCCCCGCTCCGCGAGAGAAGGGGCGATGCCGGCGGTGGGGGGCGGCCCACGGCCCACGGCCCACGTTACCCAGCATCACTGCGCCTCGGAGCCGCTCTCGGGCGGCCGCACCTGCAGGCGGGCGGAGAGGCTCTGCTGCAGCAGGGCCCGGGCCCGCGCCGGCCGCGCCGCCGCCATGGCGAGCCCGCAGCGCTGAGGGCGGGGCCGGGTCACGCCTTTCCGGAGCCCGAGGGTCACGGGCGGCGGGGAGCGTGAGGGGGACCCTGTGCGGATGGATAAACGGGGGCTTATGATCCGCCCTCTCCATGGAGGGGGCTGAATACAAGCTTTGGAACTGTAGAAAGTATTTCTACAGCTCTACTTACCGATGCCGCCGGAAGCGGGCTTTGGTTTCTTGTTTTGATGAGAAAAGAAAGATCTTGTCTTGTGCTGGGGAAATGTTACATGCTTGTGATAAGAGCGGCGTGCTGTATAGTTTATGCATGGAAAAGAAAATCTGAATATTGCTTGTTATTTCTTCTGTTCATTACTTGTTTGTGTTTCAGGTGGCTGAGATCAGCTGGAGTATTTATCTTCAATGATACTGCATTGGAGCAGAGGGAACAGAAAATGCAGTGAGAAGGGATCTGGATATCTAGTGGTCCAGATCATCTGGGAAAATGAAGCGCATAGTTTTGAAATGAACTCCCATTGCTAATGGGAAAAGTTAAAATATTGCAAGTGGTTCTTTTATTATCTTCCAGGTTTTTTGCTACATACCCTGATACTCCTTGAGCAGCTGCAAAACTGAAAGAGTTGTGTCTTTCTCCCATAGATGAATTCTGACAGAGATAAGTTTTGGACAATACTGCCTTCATTCAAGTCAGGATAGAATGATGTGGAATTCAGTATCTCTCTCCAAATTAATTTTATGACTGGAGATTTCATTTTTACAACTGTGTTTTAAAATATTGTAATTTTTTTAAAATAAAAAAGTTAGTATATAGCAGTGTGAGTAAGAAGCTGAATTTTAGTACCTGGAATCTATCATAGAGTAAGATTACCAAAGATACTTATTGAACAGCAAGGGCCAATATGCACTTCTGAATAATCAGTGTTACATACAGGGATATAGTCAACTTCTGTCTGTCATTTTAAAAAGATTATTGATGTGTGTCCGATGAGGTTGTTCTTCCCAAAGCAAACCTTCCTGGAAGAACGGGAAATTGCACTAGGTAGTTAGTGTATGAAGTAGCTCATTTTTTGTTAGCTGTATGAGGTGTTTTTATTCAAACTCTGCTAATTTTATGTAAAGTACCTTCTGTCCATTTACTTGAAAACTGTATCCCCAGACTCATTAAGAAGAGTTTAATGAGGTAGAAATCCATTTAAAATGAGAGGGTTTTCCATATATATTTGTGATATAAATTGATTGTTAAAGAAAATGGATTTTGCTACAGTCTGAGCAAATTATAATAAGCAGATTATAGAGGGCTATTAATATATAAGGATATTGATTGTTATTTGGTGCTGTGCCATTATTTACACCAGGGTATGATGGAGAACATTTATTCATGTGCAGGTTTCACTACAAATGCCTGTGAAACATTGCATAGGAAAAATGAGTACGACATCATTGTTTATGTATGGATTCTTGGTGGAATTATGTCGTATTTTCCTTGGGAAGCTGTTGTAGTGTGCTTTTATACTTTGTAATTATTACTTTGTAATAGTTTTGATCTGTTGTACCTTGAATTTCTTGAATCTTACTGGCTTATTGTTAGATTAAGGGCCTCTCTTTTTAGGCCAAGGAGTGATAGTAAATTTGTTGGATAAATTTTAGGCATGGATTTGGATTTGACTGTGGGTTTTATATTAAAAAAAACCCCCACCTCCTGACATCTAAAGAATATATCCATGCATAAAATATATTGGTATTTTTATCAGGTACTATATAAAGACATTTTTCTGCATGTTTTGGATTTGACAGTTGTCCCAGAATATTTCCTGTATCCTCTCTGCTTGTTGTCACTGGATCTGAAAGTAGGTATTTTGAGAATGGCACCCAGAAGACATTTCTGGTTATTTTCAGATCACTTCTCTTTCAGAGGGGCAGATGGCAGTCTCACAAATTGCAGCAGAGGTGTGTTTTTCCTTACCCTTTGTGGGAATGGTTAAGTGTCTAAGTTTAGGACGTGTTTGGACAACACTCTCGAGCACATGGTATGATTCTTGAGGGGTCCTGTGCAGAGCCAGGAGTTAGACTTGAAGATCCTGATGGGTCCCTTCCAACTCAGCATATACTGTGATTCTGTGCATATTTGGAACAAATCCTTTAGTCAAGAGGTAGGTGGATGCTGGAAGGAAGCCTGTGTGGGGACTCAGCTTTCTCCTTGTCTTTCAGTACCAAAATGATCTCAAGTGGTTGAATTCTTCCCTGGGGATGTTTTATTTTGAGGATGTTTTATTTTATTTTAGTTTGAGTTGACTGCACCTTTGAAGGGACAAGATGTATCTGGGATGTTTTTCCTTTGTCTGTGGTGTCTGAAACATGATCACTGGTCTTTCATGGAGCTATCACATTGACAGAGTTGCCCCTATCTGTTTTGAAGAGAAACTATACAAAGCTGCAGCAGCGCTTAGATAGCAAAGATACAAAGTAGGTTGCTGGCAGGGGTTATATCTTGGTAGAACTTCCTCCTTTGGGACAGATGGAGCTGAAAGAATCCAGAGTGTCAAGGGAAGAATTAGGTAACATTTCATTTTCTCCATTGCCAAAGTTGGAACTCTTCCCTTGCACAACAAACAAAAAAATTGCATCACTTAGAATCATTTAGTAAAGAATCCTCGGTGGGAGACGCTACTGATGTGAAGGGTGAGACAGAATGTGCCAGCTGTTAAAGATTGCTGTTAAGAGACTCATCATCAGAGAATGGCCTGGAAAGTAGAATTTGCAACAATGAATTGCAAATTTCCATCACAAGGTAAAGATATTTCACAAAATAATTTGTAAATTGGGATTCATGTTGAAATAAAGTAAAATTTCAATTTGGCTATGTTGAAACAATAGGTCAATCATCAAATAAAAAAGATATTCCATATCTCTAGTCCAAGATGTTTAAACTGCCACAGGACAGCTTAGAATGTTAATGTGATTTGTTTCTGAAGTGATGTTTATGATCATACATCTTGAACTGAGTCAAGAGTCCTTCATTTTCTGTTGGAGGGTGACCTCTTTTTCTTCTCTTTTTCTCCCAATTTACTTATTTTGTTTCTCTTTTTGAGCTACTTGCCTTATCAAAGATAGCACAAATAGGTTCTCTGCCTCCTATATTTGGTGATTATTTTTTGTATCCTATTTCTCAGTCTGGTTCAAGACCCAGTTAAGCCTACTGCAGCCTCAGAAATGTTAGTTGAAATGCTGATTAGCTGGAAGAGACAAGGTACTGCTCAACAGCAGTGTGGGTGCAGAGAGAATTAGCTGGTGATTTCAGAATAATTTTACTTCTAAGACATGTTATGATGACTGTATTTAGTACTGACTTATTCAAAGTACTGTCCAGAGATTAGGAGTATGTCTGCCTCCCAACTATTATCCTCCTTCCTCCAGAGGTATTTAAATAAGAAAACCAAAGAGGGCATGAAGAATTTTCCTAGTACAAGTCAGACAGCAGAAATGAGCAGTCCTGTCAAAGACTACAAGTATGGCACAATGCCTGTGCAGAGCTACCAGAAACAGCTCTTCCAGAGAAGAGACAGACTGAAGACTATAATCTACTTTGCCTTCCAAACTGTCCCCCAGGTCTGTCCAGCATTTGAAAGAACCATTGCAGACTTCTGGGGGAAGGTGGTTGAAAGGAAGATGGTAGTGTAATATTTATCTTTGTGCTTTGTACCATACCTCTGAGGAAGGTCACGGCTTCTTCAGTCCCAGTTCTGTAGCATCAGAGTTGGTCCACCTCTTTAGCTCTTCCAGCAGAGCCAATTTAGTGTCCCCACAAATGTCAGAATTGTTTGCAATGAAGTCTGGTATTCCTGTTGTGGAAGTACAGTTCTGTGATTTGAGCAGTTGATTTTATCTGCTAGTTGTGTTTAAAGAAAGCAACAAAAATTTAATACATGATTAAAAATAGATTAGTGTTTTGTTTAGTCCTTCATACAATTACAAAACAGACACTGAAATGTGTTATAGCAATCAAAAGTTAATTAAACTTTTGAAAAAAATAACAGATTCAATGTGAAAGCTGTGTCAGATACAATTACTGTTTTTTATTGTGACAAGAAGAAATTTGCATCTATTAGGGGAAAAACGTAGCCAGATAAAAGACACACAATCTGCTTGTTTACTGTGATTGCCTAAAGGAAGTAAGAACAGTGTTAGTCAGTTTCTTTCTCATTGGGCCTAATGTGACATTTAGCTACTCTATTTTTTCCTGCTTGGGTGTCTCCTGAACCAAATCTTTGTCTGTATGATTGACAGGCATTAATGTTAAAAGGACTTCTGTATGGTGCTCCAGTGGAATCAACAGAGCAGTGGGGGCAGCCTACCTGCAGTGCGTGCCACGGGGTCTCACTGTAACATGATGGACTGCTTAGAAGCAAATGTTTATTCTTTATTTTCATGGAATTCAGCTGATCCCATACACTCATATGCTCTTTCTTGTGCAGAGCCAATCTTGAGTTTCAACACCTCACTCTTAATTCTGGGATTCAGTGGGAGGCTGAACAGTCATGAAGCTGGCTCATGAGGAGTCCCTCACAGGTCAGCAGTTTTCTGCCTTACCATTAGGAATGGCATTGCCAGATCCAGGTTGATCCCTGCAGGTGTATCCAAATGGACTTGCTTCCCTGGTCTCCTGAGTTTGGGATCTGGGTTCTACACAGCAGGAGCACATGAAAACAACTTGGGTGTAGGACAGTAGTGACTCAATGGTGAGGGAGGCAGCACCCAGCACTGAGCTAGAAAAGGGTAACCTTGTGGTCAGAGGGCCTAGAGCAAATGGGGCAGGAGTAAAAGAGCTCAGTGACAGTCAACAGCTGTACAAGCTGTTTGCCATCCCTGAGCAAGCTCAGCAGGGCCACCCAGGCCACCCTTGACCAGTCAAAGCCAGCTTCAGCTTCCTGTGCTCTGTATGGAGCTGCTGACCACACAAATTCAGAGCCTGGCACTGCTCTGGGAGGTGGGGGTCTGGTTTGCTTCAAGACCCTGAGCTAGCCCATGCCTGGCTGATATAGATGGTGCTGCAAACTGGGTTCCTCCTGATGGAGGAGGTATTTAGTACAGGCACAATAGAGCACAGCTCCTACATTCTTTGTTTTCCTACCATCAGGGTTGGTCTGCTGCATCATACTCCTCTACCCCTCCCATGTATAGCAATAAAAGTCTGTTCTATCCAAGTATTGCTGCATCACTGCTCTCTTCACTTTATAAACAATTTTGCATCAGCAATTAGTACTACAGAATGGGGATGTGTTATTTAATCCCTTTTTTTTCATCTTCAGTGAGAAATTTTGATGATAATATGAGGATGTTGCTATAGACAAAGATGTGTCCATATCTTCTAGGGTCTGAAACTTGAGCTTCCATGTTTTTGGTAGATGCCAGATGATGTGTAACATCAGAGTATTGACATAAATCCTCACATTATTAAAAATGGACATGAGATGTGGCTTTTTCTGTTCCTTTCACAAACACTATGAGAGTCATTTATTATTCTCTCTGTACCTGGAGGACTCCTTGCCTCCAGTTACTGTTGAGTATGCAGGCATAATAAGGCTGCATGTCATTTTTTTTCATTTATATGGATGATTTTCAAAGTGAAACTCACCAACGCTTCAGGCCAAAAGCTTTCTCCTTGAGTCACAGCTCCTATCATTTTTTCCCCTCAGGCATACTGATCCATAGCTAGTCAGGGAAGCATGCACAAAAATGATAGGTCATTAGGAAATTCTCTGAATGGCAAACCTCTGAAGTCAGCCCAGCGCTATTTGCCATACATCGTGATAAAATTTGTGTGTTTGAGGAGGCACTAATTATATGCTTGGTCTGCCATTTATGAGTTGCTGGAGCTGTTGTTTCCAGAACACAGCAACCTCTTTCACAGCATAGTTCAGCAAGATTGCCAGGGAACAGTGAGCCAAGCAAGGGTTGACAGATTTTGGCATTTTATTCCCTTCAATGAAATAATATTGCATTGCAACACAAATTGATACCTCACTTTGCCATAGTGCAACATCATATACTGGTACAGTGATGTTGATCTGTGGGCTTTTCTTAAAATTATATTTTGGGAACTCATTTCCCTTAGAACAAACGGCAACTGTAAGACTTCCATTTACGATCAGCCTTTGGTTTTTGATGGTTTGTTTCAGTAATACAATAGTTTAAAAAATCCTTTCTTTATATATATATATATACATACATACACCTTTCATTATTTTAACCCACATACATAAAATGTGACCTTGGGAAGAAGAAGCAAATGTTTAATACAGTGAGATAAATAATAAAAGATTGTAAATTCTAATGAATATTCATGGAGTCAAATAAGATAATAAACATGTCAAGAAATTATGTGGCTTCCTGCTATGACTTCCAGTGTAGATTAACATGTTTCAAAGAGTAGTGTCAAAAATTGTTTTTCAATTTTTAATTTTTGCACTTTCTCAAAGCACCAATTTTTGTAATGCATGTTTCTGAATTAATTTAGGATGATACTACTAAT